TGCCACAAAAGAGAATATGAGAATAATTGTATATTATAGTGCATATGCTCTTCTCTTTCTAAACTTAATGCAAGACTCGGCAAAAGTCCAGCATGAAATAAGGTTGATGATTCAACTCAACCCAGTAATGATGCCGTGGTTTGTTGCAACCCCCAAAAGTCTATAATATAAACAATTCCATAAATTTTGACGAATTTCTTTATTTTTGTCTTTCAACCCGGTTATCCGCAATAATCAATTCCTAAATTCTATTGGTGCAATATCATACCTGGTTGGCCTTCAGTAAAGCAGTGTAAACAGTTTCAAGTTCAGATCTCCGTGAATCAAACTCTTCAATCTTCTTCCATTTCTTTCTTAAAGAATCTTCAGCTTCTCTCCTCTCCGCACAAAGCTTATTTAAGCGCTGGATTTCAGACATCAGTATGTTCAAACTTGCCCTTAATCCTGCAGCCTCTCTCTCCTTGGCCCAAACCTCCAACTACATAAGCAATGGACAAGTCAGCTAATCACATTATGACGACATGTAGGTTGAAGTTTCAGCTGAGAATGAGGAAGTCAGTGGAGGAGAAACTGTTTACAGGGATACACGAGAGAGTTGAAGTTGGTAAAGCAACCATGGAGTATCCATGAATTTTCAAATCATGGGTAGCAACCAAAATGATGAACTGATGAACTACCTCAAATTGTCGGAGACTGCCAAGGTTCTGTGATGTACCAGTAACAGTAAGTGCATGCGTAGAACTCAGATTGCCGCTCCCATGCAATTGATTTATAAGACTATGACACAAGTCCCTAGCCTTGGCAGCTTTATTCAATGAATCTTCAGTAGCCAGAAATAGCTGAACATGAGCTTTCTGCAAACAGAAAATTGAAGCATAAACTCCATATCAACAACATCAAAGAACTAGTGAAACAACATTTGGGGGATTTTAGAATATATTTAGATGAAAAATAGCAAATTGACTTGAAAATTAAAATGGAATCACGAGGATTTGCCAACAAGAAGTTCAAGAACCCAATTACTGAAAATTCAATTGATATTCACGTAAACGACAATTATCTATGATACCTGTCTTTCAAGGAGCTGATTTTGAGTTCCTCCAGAAGGAATATCTGTTCCAAACTTCCCATTTTCATGCAGTTGATAATGTAATGGAGACCTGGCATCAGGAGAAGACGCCTCCAGTACTCTGTTGTTCTCATACTTGTATCTAACAAACAAACTGAAGTGTCAGTTATCTTATTAAAGGCATACAATCAATGAAGATAGCCCACTAATATATGTAGTTACCTAGACCAGCCAGTATAAGAGAGAGATAAAAGAAACCTTCAGCACAAGCCAATGGCACTAAGTTTTCAGAGAACACAGATCCTAAACCCAACTGCCTAAGAGGCAATCATATACAGAATTCTTCACCGAGACAGCAAAATTTTGTATAGAGGGAAGTGGGGTAGAAAGAATGCATTGATTTTGGTAATTTTATTACTGCAGCAAGTACCAGTAAGAACAAACATGATCCCAAGTTATACCTTAAAGTTTCTGCATCAGCTCTGACATCAATTTTCTCAATTTCTCTAGAAATCATAGATTTTAGTCGTGATGTATATAGGGTGATTGTGTTGAGTAATTGAGGAGGATTCTTCAAACAATGCACAATGATGGTTCTAACTTCATCAGGTAACTCCCCGTCAAAATCGATACCCAGTTTTGCAGCTTCCAGTTGAGGAGATGAATGAATACCACTTCCCTCATATGCCGGAAAGGAAATGCGTACTCTGTCAATCATATGACCCGCAAGAGATTCACAAGCCTTTCTAATATTTCTCTCATGGGCTGTCTCGATAAGAATAACATCATCAGCAGATTTAGCACCCTTAACAGTAGAATAAACTGATTCCTTGTCACTGTTCCCACTGGCATTGCTAACCACATCGGCAGAAGAGTCAGCACTCGACTTTCGAGCATCCCTGGCTTGATTAACATAGTAACAAAGACGTTTATGGTATTCGGCAAATATTTTTGCTGCTTCATCACACTGCTGATCGTATGATTCCAGCACCACCTGCTTATGCCTACAGTAAATTCATCATAATCATGAGTTAACCTCGCAGGTCAAATTGCTCAATGTTCATGTAAGCTGTTCAGAACATCACCTGTTTTTAGAGCGTTCATCAATCATTCTCTTCCTCTCCGCCTCCTCCCTCGAGATCTCGAGCATTCGGGCTTTCAAATCCTTCCTCTGTCGCCTAACAATATTCCTCAACCTCTCCACCTCCTTTGCAGCCAACTCCCTTTCCTGCAACGCCAAATCCCTACTCTCTGCCGCACTACTAGAACCATCCCCACCAACCACCTTCTCCTTCCTCCTCCCACCTCCTTTACTCCTGCCGCCGGCGGCACCGCCGTCATCTTTCCCAGAAGTACTCACTGGACCCCCACGCTCAACACCACCTCCACCAACACTGTCGCCGCCGTGTACCATGATGTTCTTCCGTATACTCTCCACCGTCTTGTCCGACTTGACCCTATTAATCAAGAAACTCCAGACGGGTATCAAGTTACCCCGACATATCTTCCGCAGCGCATCAATCGACGGCAGCTGAGATTTGTTCGTCGAACCACTGTAGTTTCCCAACGGCCGGTACCCCATCTCCTTGTGAAGCCACTCCAGAATGGCGTCCGGCTGCGCCATCGAGCTCGACGACCTTTGCATTCCAATTCGGAACAAAATAAAAACCAAAATTCACACACTCACCGAACACCCTCTGAACACCAGAGTCTGCATAGCAACCGAAATTGGACTATGGCACCATTACAGAATCAAGATCGAAACTGGAACCATTGCCCTTGTAGAGTTGGGATCCTGCATTGTGGCAGAATCCCCAAACCATGGATCAGATTCCACTGCGATGACGGCCCAAATCAGGGAATTCTGAAGGCGACTTGAAACCCTAGGAAATGAGGGAGAGCGCTGGGAAGAAGAAAAGAGTGATGGATGTGAGAAATGTGGTGGCGGGGCTGGTCGATTCGAGTTAGGGCGGCCGGCAGATCAACTGACAAAGAAAGAAGACAAAAGGGAAAGAGAGAGGGAATGATTCAAAATGAAGAGATTGGGCTTCGACTTTTAACTGTTTGGAAGGGAGAAGTAGAGAAATTATCCATAAGGATCTTTAAACTATACCTTGTATACAAAATGGTCACTTAATTTGTTTATGAAACGTTAAGTTTGAACTTATAACAAAAAACTTGTAAAAAAAACTTGGGTTAATATTTTCGTATGGCCTGAACTTTGACCAAAATAAACATCCTGGCCAATCTTTTCGATCTATAACATCCTGGCCCGAACTATACCTCCAAATAAACAATTTGGCCAGATCCGACTTTTGACCGTTAACTTGGACGGTCAAACGCGTTGACCGTTAGTCAACGCGCCATGTCACTGCCAAATGAGCATAAAATATTTAAAATAATTCACAATTTCCACACATTCCCTAATTTTAAATTATTATAAATTAAAAAAAATCATCTAATACCTTAGTTAAACCAAAAATAAAAAACGAACAAAATTAAATATTTATCAGATCTTTTGACTTGGCAGTGACGTGGCGCGTTGACCGTTAGTCAACGCGTTTGACCGTCCAAGTTAACGGTCAAACATCGGGTTTGACCAAATTGTTTATTTTGGTGTATAGTTCGGGCCAGGATGTTATAGATCGAAAAGATTGGCCATGATATTTATTTTGGTCAAAGTTCAGGTCATACAAAAATATTAACCCAAAAAACTTATAACAAAATGCCACTCTCATTCATCTTCGTTATAGAACACAAAGAAAATCATAAAAAATATATATATAATGCTATTCAATTTTTATTTAAGTTTTCCTTATCAAACATTTCCCATTACGTTGCTCTTGTAACATCATGAAAGTCTTACAAACGGGAAAACACAAGGAACAAGTAATGTTGTACTATACTCGAAGATTCGAAAATTAGGACTTGAATATCGCATAAAGTGATCTTCGTTGTTTTTAAATGTATTTGATGAGGTATATAAAGATAAAATTCACCTTGAAATAACAGTTTCAAACCCTACAATAAATTATGCGTGATGAATTCACTCACTAGACACGTAAAAAAAAGCATTGAATAAATTAGGACATCAATGACATTTTGTTGATAGTTTAAGCGTTTTACTGGTATTAGCCCTAAATTTGTAGAGCATCCACATCAATGTTATTTGTCCAATTGTAAATTTTACATGACACTTAATTGAAAATGAAGATTGCACAAAGGTTGTGAACACTTGCAAATATGTAAGTTTGCATTTGATGAAATTCAAAATGCAAGACACGTAGAAAATTATTTGAGCCCACCGCATGTGCAAAATGTGAGATTGCTAACAAGCATTGTCTACCTAATTTTTCATTATAGCAAAATCACAATCTGAACCTCCAAAAAAAATATTTTTTTACATCCGTACATTCATTCAGTGCATCAAATTGTAATACACAAATTCATTAAATGGGTTAATTTGTACCCATCTACTATTGTAAATTAACAAACATACTTCTCAATTAATTTTTTTTGCACAAACATATATTTCTAATCTGCCCTTATTGTAGATTTAATATTATTTTATCATTTCTTAACCAGAACCCAATTAAAAATTATATCAATCTCACTTTGCCTGCGAAATATGCCCAACACCCAATCCCATTTGGTTTGCTCTTTATTTGGAAACTCCGGCGTCATTTGATTTTGGTGAGAGTTTAGCGGGTGTTGTTAAAATTATTCTTAATTGGATTGTGAATTGTGATTAATAAATGATAAAACAAAATTAATACCAAACGAGGTCATTTGAGTATATTTTAATATTAGAATGGTATGTTTGAGGAAAAAATTAATAAAAAATAATTTATTAATTCACAACAATGGAAGAGTACAAAATACTATTAAAACTAAAAACCTTTGATAAAAATACATCAATTTTTGAGAATCCCAATTCCCAAACCCCTCAATTCCTCCGCGTGCAAGCCCCTTTACCCCACCTGCCTTCTCGCAAACTCCAACTCTCATTCCACTAACTCCACAGACCGCATTCCCTCTCCCCATCCAATCCCTCCGCCTGCATCTTTCTTTCGCCTTTGTCTGGGCCACCAGCCGACAACCGCAGCCGGCGACTTCTCACTTCCCTTCGCCTGCTCAGCCCCTCATCCGATCCTTCTCCCATTCCAATCCCTCTGCCTGCATCTTTTCGCCTCTGACTGAGCGACCAGCCGACGACCGCAGCAGCCGACTTCTCACTTCGGCCCTCACCCGATCTTTTTTCAGAACTTGGAAGACCTCGCTAACAACCCAGGTAGCTCTAAGTTTCGATTGTTCATATCATACCCCTAAATCGATTTTGTCTGTTTGGATGCCAAATACAACCCTCTCTCTCTCTCTCTCAAATTGAATAATCCGATTTCCGAATCATCTCCTCTCTCTCTCCCCCCTTCACTCTATTTCTCCTTCTCTTCTCTATCAACGATTTTAGGGGTTTCTCGTCTCTGTAATCGAGTTCCCTCTTTCCCCCCTTCGCAGTCACATAGAATAAACAATTGTATGTATTGTTGTCGACGATTGATCGTCTTTCTTCCAGCTCCTTCTCTCAAAAGGTACTCTTCCGATTCCCTGTCTTTCTCATCTCCTGGGCACCAGGGTTGCTCTCAATAATCGATCATATGAAATGGGTCCTCTTTCCTTTCAATGGTGGGTGATGGTCTCTCGGTTTGTTCTTGGATTGATCGGTCATCTTTTGACTTTTTCGATTGTCCGGGAATCAGTTTGGAAGAATGAAAATGTGAAAGTTCGCTTCTTTTCTTGATTCTGGTATCTTTGATGTACCTGTTCTTGTGAAATTTGAGCTTCTACTTCTTCTGGACGTTGCTTTGTACTGAAGGGATTCTGGGTTTTGAAGGAAACCCTGTTTCCAGGTGAAAAAAATTGTCACTTTCGTAGTGGGAAGAAAAGAGTATGGGCAGGCCATGCTCAAATTTGCCATTACTTTAGTAATAAGTAATAACTGTGGTCATCAATTCATCGAGTGGTATATGTCAACACTAAAGTTACTTCTGATAAAGTTGTATTGATCGTTCCCTTGACCTGATCGAGTGAAGGGAACTGATAATTGTAACATGCAGTCAAATGCAGATTACTTCTGAGGAAGCATGCATTTATCAAATTCATTTGGAAATGGAATGTTTGTTGAATAGCTCGTCTGAACATGATTCTTCTTACTTTCAGGTGAAGGAGTATCGACTTGGGCAAGTTGTTAACAAGTTAAGATTGTTTATTTTTGTAGCTAAGAGAGGGAGGGTACTAGTTCGCAGAAGCAGCTGAGAGCTTCAGCGAGCTTGGATTCCTCTCTCATGGTGATTCTATTAAGCATTTAGACTGGACTAATTTGGAGGGGACAGATCTAAGGACACACTTGGCACAAGGAAAGCTGCAGGAGAATACACAATGGGTGCTGTTTGTTGTTGTTTGCATTTTGAGGACTACGAGGATTATGTGAATCCTAACAGTTCTGTGTATAGAAACTGCATGTGTCTCAGCTGCTTTCTGCAGTATTTTCTACATGTGGTATATTTCTTTTTTCTAACAACTCATTTCTTGCTAAATGGATTCTGGTCCCATTAAGAGTAGCTTACTGGCTATATAGAATCTATGATCTTAGCTTTGTTGCCTGCTCATGCGTATGTGGTTCATCAAATGCTTCAATGGGCAAACTTGATACTCTTTTCATAAAGGCATTGCTTTGATTTGATTTTTCCTTGTTCCTCGATGATAGAATTTCGTTTGGGCAACGAGATTAGAGGAGCATCCTTTTATTACTTTATCTTCTTTGGCTTTTGTGAATTAAGTTATGTACTTTGAATTCTATTGTTATAGCATCAAAGTAGAAAAGGTGTTTCTATAGGTGAGTTGGCACTTGGAGTCTTTTTCGATTTTTAGCTACAAATGGTTATCATTGCATTTCTTTCTTGTTTGATATGCTGTTTTTCTGCGAGTGTTACTCTATGATCCTTTTTTTTTGGATGTTCCTGCTTCTACAGTAAATCGGCTGTTAGTTTATTGCGGCATTGAAACATTATTTCCCTTTTACATGAGGAATGTTCTTAAGACATTGTTTGGCTTTTGCTGCAATATATGCCCATAATACTTGGAACGTATTTATTATGTGAAAGTAGTAGACTGTGGTCACACCTCTATACTCCAATCAAAACATTGCGTGCTTAGGTGTGCTGCAGACAAAGTTGACTTGCCTGCCGTGAAGTTCCAAGAATTTTCTTCTCTGATCTCTCTCCCCCCTTATTTTTGTAGTATGGCCAACTTTTTCGGAGAGGGGAAGTGCATTCTGTTTCATCATCTATTCAGGGGGCAGCATCTCTAAATTCTCCTACATCCCTAGACAGCTCTCTAGCTGACATGTACCGATCTCCTCCAAGGCCCTTGCCATATGATGCTGATCCAAGATATTTCAGGTTGCAGCGTGATGGTCTGGTTTCAAGGCGTGAGAAGGGTTCAAGTCACTCACATGAGGAAGCAGAACCATTGAGAAGCGATAATGATGACGATACAGAATTCTACAGTACAGGAGACAAGTGGAATGCATCTACGTGTGAGGAAGGTTCTAAAGAACAGCGTCCCAGGTCCTCGCTTAAACTCTCATCTGCAAAAGCTACCTCTGGAATCGGATATATTTATTCATCTTCTGAAGACGAGGAAGTCTGTCCTACATGTCTTGAAGGTACAGTTGTTAATCTGTCTTCTTAACTACAGATCGGCTACTCCATGCTCTGTTCATGTTCATCTTTTCATGAACATTTTTAGCATAGGTTAAACGTTTCTGTTTCATGGTGTCTAGATGCCATCTTATGTTCAGCAGTAGTCACATTTGGTTCGTTGTGCACATAAGAGAATCTATTCTTGTGAATTCCTTGGTCAACACAGTAGGCTCCTTCTCGTACTAGACAAGTAGCTGATGAGAATCTAGATGAGATTGTGCCCAGTAAGGAGGTGGCCCTCTCACTTGGACAAGGCTTAGACTAATTTTCTGTTGTTGTTAAGAACACCCTCAAAGAGCTTCGAAGATTCAAAAGATGCGGAATTTTATAATTGGGGGCCCTACAATAATTCTTTTCAACAATGGTTTGGAGTAATTTTGTGTTGTTGTTAAGAATCCCCTCAAAGAGCTTCGACGTTGCAGGAAAATGCAGAATTTTACTATTTGGGTTTCTTACAGCAATCCTTTTCAACAATGATTTGGAGAAGAGGATTAATTCTGTTTATTTTTGTTTGAATGATTGCTTTAGTAGTTAAAGTCTAAGAGAAGGTTTTCTGTATACTTTCTTTAAGTAGGAGTCAAAATTATTGGCTGCTTAGTGGTAGTAGGCTTATTATTCTATCGGCGTTGAATAAGAATGTCATTCCTTATAATTCTAAGGCTTATCAACTATGAATTGAGTCCCCAAATACTGATTTTAATGTGGAATTACGTGATGTGGGCATTAGTAGCCAGTTGTTGGGTCTCAAGCTGCATTCTATTCCATGCTCTAATAGATGAAGGCTAAGGTAACTGATCTCTAACTTTCCAATTATCACATTTCCATTGTGTAGAGTATGCTCCGGAGAATCCTAAGATTATGACCAAGTGCTCTCACCATTTCCACCTTGGTTGCATTTATGAATGGATGGAGAGAAGTGATAGTTGTCCTGTTTGTGGAAAGGTAACTATATTTCTTTTTAACTGTGTTGTTCTTTGGCATGCTGTGCGGTTGAATATCATAGGGTTGGAGTCATAGATGTTTTGTTTATGAAAGGTAACACTTGTTCTTCCGACTGCTGTATCCTAGTTTTAGCTGAAAGCGCAACCTTTTGTTTGGTTGTAGGTGATGGCATTCGATGAAACGACATGATCTTTCGGGTTGATAGGTGTGTTGTTGTGGATGAAAACCAGCACATGATAGGAAAGGAAGGCTTACAAGACCTGTAGAGAGTTGTTTGTGAATATTGCAGATCATGAAAGTGTTTGTGATCTCCCATTGTATATATAACAAAGGAAAGGAAAGCGAACGTTGTTTCAGCAACATAACATTTGTTATGAACATGCAAGCACTCTATCCCAAAGTGCCATATTTTATAATATCCTTTGTTCTGTGAACTCTTCCATCTGATTGTGTGATTCAGATTTTACTTTTTAGTATTCTTTACTTATGTGGGTATATTGATGAGGAGGTGAAGCATGAATGCAATCATTTTTTTTTGCTCCCTCCTTGCCAGTTAGTTGTCCTTTTAACTTGCAGTTGAAACTTCATTCATAAAATGGTTGAGAATGCAAGGACACGACCCAAACGAGGCCAGCATACATATTAAGGATAAAGGGGCTGTTTGCGAGGGTTTGTAAGGAGTTCTGGTGGTTGTTGTTGGCTTCCTTTGTCGCTGGTTTTGGGGTTTTGGGTCAGGGGCTGTTTGGTCAGCCTAGACGGTGGTTGTGTACTTTGACTCCTATCTATTGTCGGGTGATTTTTGGTTGTTTTTTCTGGGTTTCTGTTGTTTTTTTCGGGGTTTCTCTTCTTTTGGTTTGCTCTCAATCTGTTCTGGAGTATTGGCTGTACGTCTTGTGCGCCTTGAACTTTTGTTGGTTTGGTTTCAGTTTTTAATATTATCTCTCACACCATTATCAAAAAAACATATTAAGGATAAAGGGTAAAATACTTTGGGTACCACTTAAGTTTGAAAATTAGGGCAGAAATACCACTTAAGTTTGAATAAGGCGTCGAGTACTACTGAGCTCTATTATTAAATGGTATATCTGCCCCAATTCTCAAACTTAAGGGGTACCCGAGATATTTTACCTCGCATATTAACATACTAGTGCAAATGGAAACATATGGGTCGAACTCAAGCAGTTTGGTGGCTTTGAAAAGTGATAAAAGTAACTTCAATCCACAAAATTCCAGTTAAGGCCCCCACTCTGGCAGTTGACCCATCACCCATCACTACTTTTTTTTCCAAACACTTGCATCAATGGTGGGAGTGGGTGGTTGGGTGGGGTAGTGATGGCTTGTGTATGTCCTTTCTCTCCAACTTGCATTACACACAGCTCTAATGTACCTCTTCAATGGAGGCCAAAGTACGACTGTTGAATCCAACTCTCTGCTTGGATTGGCAGCTTGAGAGCTCTAAACTTTGCAGCATAAGCGATGATCACACAAGAGAACAAAAGGGCAAAGGAGGGCCATAAGCATATCAGAAGAGCACGAATGCAGCCCCAACGTTTCATTTATTAACTGTCAATTCTGGTTTCTGAAATAAGAAAAGAAGTACCAAGGAAACAGCTAGCAATCTGGTTGCAGGATTATTGTTTGGCAATAACTTCAAAAGCACGCAAGAAACCTTCTGGGGGCTGTGCTCCACTCAACTTGTGCTTCCCGTTAATCTGTAGGATTTATTGTAAAAAATTATAACCCTTCTCTCAAAATCAAAGCTTTAAGATTGTAGAAGTGAAAGCAGACAAATTTGATTAACATACCACATAGTAGGGCACTCCTCTAACCACCGTCTTTTCCAGATCCTCATTTACCTTGAACATCAAGTCAGCCATAAAGAAGTTAAGCCAGCTAGAGTAACTAAACACAAAATCAAGAAGTGACGAGCTACTCAGAAGTGAAGTCAACACAGAAACCTGTTTCAGTCCAGCATTGGGGTCATCGAGAAACTCAGCTGCGCCTTCTAATCCAATCTTCTCAGCACATTGGAGCAGGAATTCTCTGTCTCCAATGTACTTGGCCTGTGTGAAGTTTCCAAGGAAGAGTTCCTCAGCAAGCTTGTGCTGTTTGTCAAGCCCTTGCTCACCTGCTAAATACATCAGCCTGTGGCTATCCATACTACTTCCCCTGTTGATAAAACAAACAACAACGTCTGTTAATTCTTCAACGGTTACTTGCATCAACTATCGAAGGCAATCAAACATTGTAGCTTTCAAGACTCACGTTAGCCCGGAAACGTCATAGTTCATGCCAAGTCCCCTGAAGATCTGCAAGCATGGAAATGTGGTAGCACCAACCCATACATAGCCTGAAATCCAAGGAAATGCAAAGAAAAGTGAAATAATAAATGGAGAACCTCAGACATGCGAGCCATCATTCCATCGATTCCGCCTCCAAACCTTCCTCTGTAGAACTGTAACAAGTTCACTCCTTGCTTTGGGGCATCAGGATACAGCTGAAATGGATGCCATCTAATCTGGGGAGAAAATAACCGAATTTGAGAAGAGCCGGACCTAAAATTAAGACGTTGAAGAATATTTTATGTAAAGGGAGAAAGATACCGAGGTAGATGGACCAGTACCTCAAACTCAAATCTGTTACTAGAGGCAGCTTTGGCTTTGTCCAAGTTTTTCTTGCCAACAAAGCACCATGGACATACAGTGTCTGAACTTATATCAATTATCAATTCTTATCAGCTTCTTCCCGGAGTTGGTAGCCATGGCGATCTGTCCCCCCCCCCCCCCCCCCCCCCCCCAAACCGTTCAATCGAAAAGATCAAATATGAAATGGCTTAAGCTCCATTTCTTCAGAGGCTTTTGAAGAATCCAGCAAAGGGTTACAGATAAAGAAGAATACCTGGAAAAAGAGTTTAGACCTCTCTGGAGGCAAGGCAGCAGGAATATCATAAAGAGCAGAATGAGAAGGAGAACATGCGTTTTCCTCTATGTAAGGACGTGTTTGGTGCCAAGCTTGACTTTTTCAGCCCCCATAACTGGAAGACTTTTTATTCTTGAGTGTCAAAGACTGCTTAAGTGCTTATCTGATTGCATTTATACATCAGGATATGTCTCACCTTTTCATGTCCCTGACTATTACAGAAGCAGGGTATGAACACAAACACCAGTATTCCTTTCCATTTATTCATCAAACAAACAAAAGAAGGAAATTCCCTGTTGGAGAGGGATCACTGTGTTCATACATTAAGGCTTAAGCACATGAACTCGGACAGGATCACGATCTCTCATTATTACCCACAATTATATGTAGGTGTAGGTCCTTTATTCATAGCTAGCACATGAATAGAATTCTATGCGTGGCTGAATTCGAGCGTTATATATAGCTCCTTTATTGATAACACACATACATACATAGACTCTTGTCAGGGGATGTAATTTCAGCTCATCAATTTGCAGCAGCCTCAAAAGCTCTCAGGAATGCCTCTGGTGGCTGACCACCACTCAGCTTGACTTTCCCATTCAGCTGTTCCATAAGTTCAATTAGTTGCGACTTGTGAGATGGTGGTTCTTATATAATCGAATTGCAGAACTGAAGACTCATAATGTGATGGAACAGATTGTCACGTACCACGTAGTATGGGACTCCGTTAATGTTTGAGGAGTAGTTGTTGAGCTCTTCCATTACCTTCATCAAATTAAAACGTTTGTTAGAATGTTAAAATGTGCCTTACACCATAGAGAAATGAGTGAATTTCTACAAACAAAAGACGAACTGAAAACATAGGGCATTGCTGCCTGCAGTGAATTTGGCAACTGAAGAAGGAAATGGAAGGTGAAACGACCTCTTGGAGCCCATTATTGGGATCATCGAGAAATTCTGCTGCACCTTCTAGGCCAACCTTCTGAGCACATTCCAAAAGAAATTCTCTGCCAACATTGATTGCGTTGGTAGATAAGCAATAGAGGGGAAAAAAGAACTACATACACTCTTGTGTTCCCTGTATTGTTTGATTCTGATCAATTGCAAACCCCAATTTATACAACTATATACAAACTGAAGTCTCACTCTAGGTGATCTAACTTTACTTGGTCACAGACAAGCAACATCGAAAATATTATTTGTGCAGGTGCAAAGTAAGTCGATTGAAGCATAGACACAAAAGAGCAAACAGGATTCATGGTAAATATATAAATGAAAATGCACCTAAGATCGCCATGAATCTCATGTTAGAACTGTGAATGAAGTCTATACAGTCGGTGACGAAATAAGGCTTGCTGGACCACATAGAAAGTTGAACTTTACCTATCTCCAATGTACTTAGCCTGAGTGAAGTAGCCAAGGAACAGCTCCTCAACAAGGTTATGTTGCTTATCAGAACCCTGCTTTCCAGCATAATATATAAGCCTGTGGCTGTCTAGAGTGTTTCCCCTGCCAAAAAACTCCACCAGAGATTCTTACTCAAAACACTCCTTCACAAAAAAATGATAATTTTCCTCCATAGAAAGGGTTTTCAACTTACGTGAGGCCGGACAGGTTATAGTTCAGACCAAGGCCTCTAAAGACCTGCAAAATCATATCCACACCTTAAAAGAGATTATCTATGCAACCACAGCTTGTGGAAGAAGCATAAAAGCGAGTTTATATATAACCTCAGTCATCCGTGCTACAACTCCATCAAGTTGAGGCCCAAACTTGTCCTTGTAAAATTGCAGTTTGTTCATCCCTTCTTTAGGTGCAGAGGGATTGAGGAAGAAAGGGTGCCATCTGATCTGCAAAAAAATCCCAAATTGGAAATCGAATAAACTCAAGGGCTTCTAAACTCAAACCATGGGACATAGATTAGACAAAGAAGATGACCACAACCTCAAAATCAAATCTGTCAGTAGAGGCAGCTATAGCTTTGTCCAGGTTTCTCTTCCCCACAAGACACCATGGGCATATAGTGTCAGAACTCACATCCACGCGGATAAGCTTCTTCCCAGCAGCTGTCTCGGCCATGGACCTCACGCGTTTTATCTGGTTTACCCTCAATTTCCAAGCCATGTTAGTATCAGAAGTTCAGCTACTAAAGTTCTATCCTTCCCTTTACCAGAATCAACTGCAAATCAAACTACGAGACACCCAGGAGAGGGAAACACAGACAGACTTGTTGGTGTTCTTTAATCTCAAACTCTAGAGACCAGACATCTTAAAAGAAGCAGAAAAGATGGAAGGCGGGAGACGGACCTGGAAGCAAAATAAATTGCTGCCGGAGCTGGAAGAAACCTAAAGCGTGAAAGCCTGCTAACAAAGTAGATGACAGTAGAGAAAAAAATCATCACAATCTGCTTTATATAACAACGATCAAAACTACCTTATCAGTTCCAAATTCACCCACGTTTCCATCGTTGAGAAAATTCTGTTGGGCCGTTGATCCGTTGGGCCTGTTTCACAATCTTTTCCATGTTCGCCTTTCCTGCCATCAATTCCCGAGCAAGACGAAACGTCTCGCTTTTGATGTCCCTGTGTTTGCAAGTTTCCACTCTCACTGTGATCTCGTGACCCGTCGGAAAAAATTATCGTAAAATGACTCAACCGTGAAATCTCCACCTAGATTCCGATCCAACACTTGTCCGGACGTCCCAACATTTCATCCCAAATAAACATCGCCTACGGTACTGGTACGAATAATCCCTTTTCTTCCCTAATCTCTCGTCCTTCCTTGCTCTCTCCTTTCTCGAAAAAGTCTCTCCTTTTAAGCAACCCATTACAATCTGGGCATTCAAATGCTCAAAGTTCAAGACTTTTTCTGAAACCCAGCTCATAATCTTTCTCAAAAGTTAAAAAAATTCATTTCTGGTGGTGATATGCTCTATTGCATTTCTCTTTGTGTAGCGTGAATCAATTGAAGGTGAGAACAATCTAATTGAGGGCCGATGGATATAAGCGAGATACTTGGGGAGAGCTCGAAGCCAGGAAGCTTAGTACCGACCAAGAGCGCGATTTATGTTTGGGGTTACAACCAGAGTGGGCAGACGGGAAGGAATGGTAAAGAGCGCCAATTACGTATCCCTAAGCAGTTGCCACCTGAGCTATTCGGTTGCCCTGCTGGTAACAACGCCCGGTGGTTGGATATAGCTTGTGGCCGGGAGCACACCGCCGCCGTGGCTTCCGATGGATCGCTCTTCACATGGGGTTTGCTCTCTTGCTCATATCTTCGTTTCGATTTCTTCGCAGAATCTCAATTTCCCCTTGGAATCTAAAGCTCAAAATGGCGAAACTTTTTTTGTGTGCCCAATTTGTGATTCTTTGTTGCTCTGGGTTTAAGAGAGGTCAAGATTGTCTTCTGAATTGCCTATTCTTTCTTCTTTCTGTCTTTGCAATTTCAATTTCAGTAATTCGATCATGGTTTTGGTTAGAGGCATGATAGTTATGATTTTTGGGTTGTCTAGGGGCTAATGAATTTGGTCAATTGGGGGATGGCTCTGAAGAGGGGAGCAAGTACCCTAAGAGAGTAAAGCAATTAGAGTCTGAGCTTGTGAAATCTGTAGCTTGTGGAGCACATTGCACTGCTGCTATTGCAGAACCACGTGAGAATGATGGAACCATCTCCAAAAGTAGGCTATGGGTTTGGGGACAGAACCAGGTGCTTAGATTTATATCTGTGTCATTCTGTTTTGGAAAAGCTGTTTCATTTTGTCACGACTCTAGAACTTAGCTTTCTTGTGATTTCTTCTTCTCCTCATTCCAGGGGTCGAATTCTCCGCGTCTGTTTTGGGGTGCCTTCAAACCTAACACGGTATGCGTTGAGTTGAATTTTATGTGCCTGAGGTTAGGATGGTGTATTGGCAAACCTAATAAATATCTGAGATTCTTCTTAATTTCTGTGTGTTCATACAAATCTGGTCGAGGCTTGACATGTATTGGTAAATGATTGTTTGGCTTGAGCAGTCTTACAACTGGAATGAGGCACTTTGAATTAATACGTTAATCCTTATTCTCTCTCTGGTTGCTTCAGATGATCCATCAGGTATCCTGTGGTGCAGCTCATGTGGTGGCCTTATCAGAAGACGGAATGCTACAATCCTGGGGTATTAATACACAGTTCTCCATCTTTAGACTGAATTTGCTTCCTCTCCATATGTAGCCATTTGATCCTACGCTGGAAGTGAAAATACCTACGCTAGTCCTGCAAGCGACCAAACATCTCAAACTAGTGACTGATCTCTAGTTATTTTCCTTGACTAATCAGGATACAACGAATATGGCCAGCTTGGTCGTGGGGTTACTTGTGAAGGCCTGCAGGCTGCTCGTGTCATCACTGCTTATGCAAAGTTTCTTGATGATGCTCCAGAGCTCGTGAAGATAACCCAAGTTTCATGTGGGGAGTACCACTCAGCAGCCTTATGTGAAATGGGCGAGGTGTAAGTGTTTGTAAGATTCTGTTGACGAAGATAAAGTTGTACTATTAACATGAAAATTGTGGCTATTCTCATGACTCATGGAACTTTCCCTGAAGCTTGGGAAAAATCTCCTTGTGGGGCTCTCCCGGAGTTCGGGGTGCAATGGAAATTCTGATATGCAAGTCCCTCTCCCCTTTGCTTCTGTCTAGCAGTACATTTCTCATTGCCAGAAATGTGGCAGGCCAGTTTAGTTTCTTCATACCATAAAGAATTGCACAGATTTTGTGTGATTATTAGAGATGCCATTACAGCATCAACAAATGGACCCATCCCAGATGTTTTTAAAATCGATTGTTTCAGATGCATGTAATTGATTCCCTCCATGAACTTCCCTTTCTTTTTCTGTTTGTACTGTTTCAGTTATACTTGGGGGCTTGGAAGCATGGGCCAACTTGGGCACACGTCCCTTCAATCTGGGGACAAAGAGTTGCTACCGAGACGAGTGGTTGCCCTTGATGGTGTTATCATGAAGCATGTCGCCTGTGGAGGAGTGCATACTTGTGCAGTTACTGATAAGGGAGCTCTATACGCTTGGGGTGGCAGTCAAGCTGGTCAACTAGGCTTGGGACCCCAAACTTCATCATTCTCATTCATTCCCAGTGACTCTGAATCCTTCCTCCGAAACATCCCTGCCGTGGTTGTTCCAAATGGTGTTGAACATGTAGCTTGTGGACATTCTCATACACTTGCTTCTTTGAACGATGGAAGGATACAGGGATGGGGTTACAATAGCTATGGCCAGGCATCGAATGAGAAGTCGACATATGCTTGGTATCCGTCGCCAGTTGATTGGTAGAGATCAAAACCCTTTGGTGGATAGCCGGTGTTAGTTTGTGTTTTAATTTTTACTGAATGTTGACCGAGCTCTCCAAACTTTGCAGGTGTGTAGGGGCAGTCCGGAAATTAGCTGCTGGGGGTGGTCACTCAGCTGTGCTGACCGATGCTTGTTCCTTGAAGGAACTCTGTGAGTTTAGACTTGCAGATGAGGTTAAGTTCTCGAATGCATCACGGATTGAAGATGTTGCTTCCCGAACTGGGGCTGATGCTTTAGCTCGTCTCTGCGGACGATTGAGGTAAGGCTTCATCTGCTTTAAACTATTTGCTCGGTGTCCTCTTGTGATCGAATCCTTTTGCCACTTTGATATTCTGTAACGCTGTTAGATGTGAGATCTTTGCCAATAACTTTTCTTTGTATCTGCAGACAGCATATGGTTGACATCGGAGATCAAAACTACGATGATGAAGATCAGTGAGCACTGAAACTCTCATTTAGAATTCGTCCTGATTTTCTGTGAATAGTCCTTCCCCTGTTCTGAATTAAGGGTGTCGATTGCGACGTCAGCACCTGTAAGTATTGTAGCTCTGTGATTGTTGGAACAGGAAGCGGTCAACTAATACGTTGAGTCGAACTTCCGATTATTGTGTCCTCACAATATGCTGCTGGTCCATCTCGTATGTAGCTGTATGTACCAACACTTGGATGCCTACATAGTCAACCCATTTGTTGTGATTTAACTTCAAATATTGTAGTGACTGTAAGTCTGTAACAGAACTTTTATGTATGCGGGAACTAAGTAGTGTAATCAATGTACAATCTTTCTGTGGTTTCGGATTTGTTCTACTGGTGATGATCTTACTGAATCAATTGACACATTGATGAATATAACAACTAGTGGTTCGGCACTTCGCGAAGTTGCATATCTCTATGTGACTCTTGTATAATGGACAGGTAAGAGCTTGTTGCACATCATCTTTGGAACCAATTCTATGCCTAGCTAAAAGCCATGGATTCTAGCAAGCGAGGAAACTTCATTATGGCCAACAGAAAGTGCACACCATTTTAAATTTAAGGACAAAATGTAATATATTAGTCAAATTGGATCTATAAAATATCATCCAGATCTTTAAAAATACAAAATATCAGTAAGATCTTTCATACCATTTAGGGTTTAGGGTTAATTTATTTGCAAAAAAAATTCATTGTATTGCAAAAGTTCTCGTAGTATGGCAAATAGCATTAATTCATTTCTTGACCAAATAAATTTATTTGTCAACACTCAACTGTCAAATTTTGATTAACACTTTTGTTAGACGATGTCGAGTAAGCAAGCGGGATGCTGAGTTGGAGGAGTTTTTGTGACGTGAAGGTTAAAAAGAAATCACCATGTCAATCAACCTTGTTGTCACTTTTTCTATTAATTTAATTTTTGAATAAAAAATCAATCAAGAATAAAAGTGCTATATATCCATAGCAAAACCACACTGACAGACCGACAAAATCTTCTTCTCCAACCTATTCAAAGTTCATCGAGCCGGCGAAACCAGTCTCAATCAAAATTCCTTTGGACAGCAGACGACATCTCGTCCAACTGCACTTCCGACTCCAAGATGGTACAACTCCTTGTCAATGATTAGTTTTCGTAGTTAGTAAATCTTAACACACTCTTTCATTATATCCAACTCGATTGTGCAACTCATGATGATATTAACTTCTATTCATATTGTTCTCAAGGTGTGAGCTTGCCTAGCAGCAGCACGCAACCCTCTGGGTCTGCAGGTTCTCATTTGTTTCAGGTTGATGTGGGCTGTTTGCCATTTTTTGAGTGTTATGTTCTTCGATATTACTGGTTTTTCAGTAGGTAGGACACTTTGAACTCACATGTCCACTTCTTGTGGATAGTGAAGGTACTCTTCCTGTTTTCTTCTTGTTATTTTGTTTCTCTTTCAATAAAGTTCATCACCATTAAAAAATAATAATAAAATAAAATTCTGTCATAACAACCGTCCGTCAAGGCACGCCCCAAAGAGGGAACCTCGTCCCCCTTATTTTGACAATAATAGATCAACAGCTCAAATTCTGTAATATTGTGAAAAATTCGGCTATTATTTTGACACATATTTTTATATATAAATTAGGATACGAAGAAAGAGTATAAAGGGATCGGAAACAACTAGCTAGGCACGAACAATGTTTTTGTTTCTAATCCGAAACACTATTAGCAGCTTATGATGATCATATATCCTAATTCTAATCCTAATCCTAATCCTAACACTAATATAAAGAGATTCTTCATGAGAAGGTACTTAATCTAAATTTATAGCATTCTGAGAGAATTAAGGAGGGACACTTTTGTCCTTTTGATTAATAAAAATCCAAACAAATATTTCGTTGATAACTTTTGTAAAAGCACTATTAAACTATTATTTTTAGTTACTGGGAGAATTTAGGAGCCACACTTTTGTCCTTTTCAACAATAAAAACACAAACAAATATTTCGTTCGTAACTTTTGTAAGAAAATATTAAACTATTATTTTTAGCTAGGAAAGATAGTTTTTTATATTTTTTCTAGAGTTGTGCGAGTCTACATAAATTTAATTTTTTTATTTAATTTTGCTTTATTATAAAGTTAAGTGTTCGAAACAAATTCTTATATGTATGACTATTTTTTATGAATATATGTGACTTTTCTAAATAACTAATTCTTAATAACTTAAGTAAATACACCAAATATAACTTTGGATTTGAGGTTTTTGATAAAAAAAATAATAATTAAGGTCTTAAAAATAATTGATAATGGTGAGAAGGTTTATGAATATAATTATCAATGATTGTTTAATTTAATATCACTTCATTTCTAAATCCTTATTTTAGATACTATTTTTATTTTAGAGTGATGAAATGTAGATCACAATCTCCATCTAGAAATTAGAATTTCAAAGTTTATAACGAATAGCTAGATAATTTCTTTCTTGGGTTCATATCCCGAAAAATGATAATAAAAAATTATGAGATCATAATACATTAGATCTACGTTTGTGATATATAGTTTTCTTTTACCATAACGGCAAATCAGAAACTACGTTTGCTCCGTTTTCATTCACCGATCACCTTAGAGCGTGTGTGGGAGGGCATGGATGGCATGTACGAGTACATGGACCAGATGTCCACCCAGATGACTGGCATGTACGACTACATGGGGCAAATGACCGCCCAGATGAGCACATTGCAGGTGATCGTGAATGAGATGCGAGATGAGTGGCGATCTTTCAGCGGAAGATACCTGTATCCCACCACATCCGACCACCATCATGCTAGCACCACCAATGAAGAAAATGTGGATGAGGGAGAGAGGGGAGATGAGTAGGAGCGCGGAGATTTTAGATTGTGTGTTTTTATTGTTAAGTGGTCAAAACGATTGTTGATTGTTATTCTGTTGTTTTTTTAGTTTTATTTTTATGTGTGAACAATTATGATTTCTGTTTTATTGTATTTCTTGTTAGTTTGTTTAGTTGTTATGCAATTGATGAGTCCTTGTTATCATTATTTATGACTATTTATGATGGTTTGAAATATAATTTATACGAGCAAAGGAACCACACAAATCGACATACATAAGCAAAAAAGACACGGTGCATAGGTTGAATTTCTTGTATTCGGTCGACCTCGTACCGGATTAGGTCGACCTCGAAACCAACACTTGATCTTCATTTTACGTCAAATTATTGGACAGATTGATAGATCACTTATCTTATATCTGGTCGACCTCTTTCCTTATCCGGTCGACTATTTTGTTAATGACTGTCATCAAGTGGTCGACCTATATACCTTAGGTGGTTGACCATGTTGTTTCTGACGCCAACGAAATGGCCGACCGAGGTTTTATTCTGGTCGACCAAAAATAACAACTTAAACTAAGTGCGGTCGACCAGGTGGTCGTTGAGGTTGACCGCAATGCTTTCTCGTGCTGCCCAAATTAGTCAATTCGGTCGACCGCCTTCAGGAATAGGTCGACCGAAAAGTCCATGTCACGGTGACATGCATGTCATAGTAGGCATACCCGTTATAGTATTCTAATTATTATTATTATTATTATTATTATTATTATTATTTATGTTTATTGATCTAATATACATGGAATTATAAATCTCACTTACCTTATTTTAGGTAATATTTCATACTTTTATACCTTTTTTATTTATGATAAATTTAATTGTATTAACTAAGCTCTCTGTAGACCGTTCTTTATTGATTTAGAATTTTGTATCAAACTAAAAAAAGTGATAAAGTAGTTAAAAAATTTGAGGCCATAAACAAAGAAGTTAGAATAAGAAAATATGCTTCAATTAATAAAAAAAAGTAAGCGAAGATATTTTCATTTTCTTTCCCTTCTCATATGTCGGTGTATGATAATAGAGAATATTCTTATCTAGATCCCACAAATATCATGTATTATCAGTTACAACTGCAATTCTAAAATAATGATGAAATAGCATCAACATTCATCAATCTTCCGCATACTCAATTAATTTACCTTGACAAAGTTCTAGCAAAACCAACCACAAACAAAACTATCAGTCGTCACTAATTTATTAAACCAATATTTTTAGCAAAATAAACTGCATATAAACACAATTTATATTTTATAGAGACCTACATATCTCCAACATAAAAAGTGGTGTTTTTTTACCTAATAACAACACAGACAAATAATAAAAGGAGCATCAAAAATATGTTACAACTGCTCAATGATAGGATGAATTACTTTCATCAACAGGCAAAAATATGTTACAACTGCTCAAAAAATTTGTCATCTAATCGTTGCCTCTTGTACCTCCCTCCTCCTATTCTCCTACAAAGAGAAAAAGAAACTTCAAATGCATTACCATTTCCTTCTTTATCTAATTTCTTATTTTCAATGTTGGATTTTATTTCTAGATAGACAATCAAAATGGGAAAATGGTAGAGATAAATTAAAAGGTTGCATTAATAATTAATATGCTTTCATTTAATGGGAAGGAATAAGAAGTGTTTAAAAAAATAACAATTATTGCTCTGTCAAGTTTATCTCCAGATCTTTTTCTATATAAATTATACCGAAGAAGTGAGTGTTTGATAGCAAAAAATACATAGTCATATAGTTCATTTTTCAAAATCGATTGATTGTCAAATACTTATTTTCTCTTAGGCCATCGTTTAGATTTTGTTTAATTGAAAAATTATTATTATTCATATGTGTGCTTGTTTTTTTCATCAGAATGTAATTTATTATAAAGTTTTAGTAAAAATGAGTAGAAAATTTACTTAATGAGATTTAATAAGATATTTTTGGGTTAAACAAATTCGATATATGGCACTCTCTATTTTCATCTTTATAGTTTGTTGAATTGAAGAAATGATTATTACTTATGTATGTTTGTTTGTTAGAATGTTTCACAAAAAATGTAACTTATTTTAAGTTTTAATAATAATGAGTAGAAGTATTAAAAGAAGAGAGATAGATCCATATATAATTTTTTTTGTAAAAAAATTGTCCACCTTGGAATCTTGTGAATTCACCAAGTGCTTATGTGGCAAGAAGTTACTTTTGAATAGCCATAATATTAAGTATAGATAGATAGATAGATAGATAGATAGATAGATTGTTTTTAACTTTAAAGTTCATTCATTAGAGAGAAAAAGAACATACCCACTAATGTACGTATCTCGATTGTGTTATCTTATTGATTCATGATTAGTTGTGAGTTGTAGACAATATTTGTTTAATCTAGCTTCATTGTTCTGTATAGCGAGGAAGCTAGATTTTTTGGAATGTCTATTGAGAAACAACTCAAATATAGTGGAAAAACGAGAGAACCTTCACCTCCTCATCCCATACAAACCGAGTGCATGAAGTTAAATTTTCAGATCAAG